TCGGCACATCATCGGACCAGTTTTAAATCTGCTTAGAATGCACATAGGCAGAACCCTGGACTCGAGAGACACCTTAATAGTATCCCTTGTTAGTTACATTTAAGTCGAATAAAATAGGAGGTGAAAGGTTTTTGTCCAATAAATGTAACAATCGAAATTCGCTGGTATCGCACGAAATACTATACTCGGGTAATTTTAAGAACGCCCTAGGCCACGTAAACTTGGTGGGTGTGAGTTTTGGTCAATTAAAGATTACCATTAAAATATACTTCCTTCCCCCAATAAATATGTCGCACGACACGCTTGAACATGTTAAATATCGCCGATACGTTACCCGTTTGGGGTTTGCATAAGCTGAAGTTGATATGATAACCTTTGTGTTCTGATAAAAAAATATGTGTCACATGTTATGGTTTAATTATGCACAACAGTGTCAAGGGCCAAAAAAGTGCATCAATAACCACACTCCCTGGCCGCCCCAATGGCCTTGTGATTGTATTTCTAAGCTTAGTCGACTCCTTTAGCTCCAACATGCATATCATATTTCGAAATTATGAGGTAATTATCACCGTAGGTAGGTACGGTGAATATCCGATTTTCAAAATTAATGGAATTTTAACATTAATTTAAGTGCAACCTTAATTTGGCATCAATCAGGTCAAGATTTAGTCGTTTATTTCAGGGCTGTCAATATTCTTGATATATTGTTACCTTACAGAATTAGTAGGCAGTCGGAAAAGGTTTTGTTCTTACAAATAATTATTTAATCAAACCAGTGAATAATTTATCTGCTCCCAAAAACAATACTAAACAGCTTAGAAATGATTACGAGGCAATTACTAAAGATATCATCTATTTCAATCTCAATCGCATGAAAAGCTTTTCTTCAAAAAATAATTCCTAACTTCAATTTGAAGTTTTCAAATTAATTATCGATTTAAGTGGTGTCCACCACCATGTAAAACCCGCATAAGTAGTGCTTGAAACGGATAAGATTTTCCGATCCGTAATTAACATTAAGCTCAATATTTACATAATAACTTTTACGTACTTGCGTATTAAATTTTTATTATGTCGACACACTTGTTAATAGCGTTACAATGCTCAATTACGATTTGTCAGAGTATGTAATTTAGATCCATCTCCCACAATGGTGACACCAGAATTAATAAAGAAATTTTATAAGTTTCACAGATGACAGCTCAATTACATAAATTGAATTACGCACATTGAATTGATTGATTTGTAATCAGTTGCTCAACATGGGTTGCATTACGTATATATAATCACTCCTCTTGTCAAGTGTATTATTGATTTAAATTGACATCTCGGAATCGCATGTTAGAATCAGCAGGAAAAAATCCTGACCATTACGCAGAAACTAACCTTGGTAAGAGTTATAAAACAATTATAAAACAGTAGTTGGCCTAATAATTGTGGTTATGTCACTTAATGGGCAGAAGTCTTCATCAGAATTATGAACTGCAGTCTGTCTGTGTGTTTAGCTTCCCACACGACGTCTCACTTAGCCCCTACAGTAATGCTTTTCCTTACCGTATGCAACTCTCCTATTCACTTACTGTCTTATTATGTTCCACCCCATGTAAACGTCACATCATTGCATCCCCCCCAAATTTCAATTTGAATTTGCAAATCAACCCGAAATTTGAAATCAAGCCAACTTTTATTTTACAAATATAGTGACATTTTTTCGACGAATCCACTAAATTGTCCCCACGTTACGTACAATTTGTGTGTCGCCATTGGTCGTGTTTGGACCAAGCCATTGCTATGGCTTTTTTCTTAGGTGAGGCAAAGCCGGAAAGCTGGGCCCGTCTCAAAAAGCAAATGCAATATGCGCAAGTGGGGCCTGGCGAAGCCTAAGTATGCATTCCGACCGACCACTGAAAAACTCCCACAAAGATAACGCCAAAACGATGCGTATAATCGAAAAATGACAAGAGGCAAAATAGTTAGAGAATTCGCTAACTTAATTTCCTTTTTTTTCAAATTTCAAAATTTGCATATATTTCTAATATAAATCGATTTTTGAAGTTTTCAAACGGCCAATGTCTGATAAAAATTTAAACTTTCAAATTACCATAATTGTACAATTTATTCGTTAGGGAAAGCTCTATTTTTCATTAATTGCATATGTTGGCCTTAAAAAATTATTGAATTGCTGGTAAACTAATTAAGAATTTAATTTAGCTGTACAGTTATAAATACTAATAGTAAATACGGCCAAACAGTCGGTGTATATAAGACTATTGTTAGACTGGCCTAGAGGTATAGGCTCCTACCTAAAGAGTAGGAAGGCCGGAGTTCGAATATCCGTGGATTAAAAATTTTTGCATCTATTTTTTAACATGTATATTATTCTTTGTGCGCGTAAAAGCTTTTGTCAAACTAACTACGTTGTCACGACACCCATTTATATGGTGGGAGTGGTGAGCCTTGAGAAATTGTCGTGAGTTTTCCTAAATATTTACGCATATTTATTTTCTGGTGCCCCAAAATATAAGCATAAAAATTTCATATGACCACACCCCCTGTATTTTGAGGTGATCCTCTTAATGGATATCGTATTTGTAAATCTGAAGTTGCAAAAGGAACTCGCTCCAATTCAAAGTTTTTGACATTTAACAAATCTTGCCTTTTTAATTGACTTTTGACCTTTTGGCGAACCATATTCAGGCACCCTTCCAGTGCTATCAACGAGACGAGACCATCTCGACGTATCTCGGTCTCGATCTCTTCTCGTACACGTCTCGAAATATTTTGAAGACGGCTCATCTCGATTCTCGAAGTTTTGGGACGAGATATCTCGAATTTAAAGGAAATTTTATTGTTGATCTACAAATTGGTACAAAGTTTTGTTTTACATATTCTAATTGTTGCACTAGCTATAAATGATTTTCAAACTGCTCATATCACCGTGTTTAAATGGACATTGTACATTTCTAGAATGATCGCGAAGCTTGACCACCCCCGAAGTACATATACGTTCATTTGTAAACAAAAATTTCAGCCAAATATCACAAGTTTCTCATATATATATCCAAACCTGTTAACCAAAGTACCAAATTTGTTTCAATTTTTTTAAATTGGTATCTGTCACCCCCACATATTTCCTAATTTATACCTCGTCATCACAACGGACTTAACTAAGTATGCATAAAAATCCCCACATAAATTGTGGGTCCTTACCGTTTAAGCTTTGATTTAATTAATTAATGATATCACAATTAATTGAAATTTCAATTTCCTACCACAAATTCGAAATTCTACTGATCAAAGAATTTTATGTTATGTAATTTCAGAGTACGTCGAAAAATAAATACGTTTTCTATGTAATAAATAACGAGCGAAATCGGCGCACTAATATGTATTTCCTGTAGATTCCCTAATCTGATATGGGACGAAAATATTTCGAGACGTCTCGAAAAAATCGAGATCGAGATGATCCGAGATGCAGCTCATCTCGGTCTCGACGAAACGAGATGGGACTTTGGCTCCTCTCGAAACCATCTCGGCTCGAACTTTTACTCAAGATATAAGACGGCTGGTCTCGTCTCGATCTCGTTGAGTGCACTGCACCATTATAAATCAGTGTGCCGTAGGGTATCATCTTAAAATAACAAAATCCACTGATACGTTCCGAGTTTTTGTAAGACGAATTTTTTTAAATTGTGGCAAGTATTTATCAAAATTTGCATACAAAAAATCTAGTCTTAACACTTATATCCTATGGCTAGACAAATATTAATAGCAAGAAAATTATTAACTAGAGCGAAGGTACCTTATGGCATAAATGGGGTATTCTCTCTGCGTTTTGGGTGTGACATAAAATAATTTAAACCAAATAAAAACTAGAAAATAAATTCTTTTACAAAAAAGGACTCTTAGGTTCGGAATCGCGGTAAAAAGTTGAAAACAAGTTTATAATGGATAACAATTTTACCTTAATATTTACTATAATTAGCGATTCCTGCACTATTTGCTGAACCGCGGGCCAATCCTTTCAGTCGTTTAATTTAAATATGTATTTTATGATGATAACTTAACAAATAGCGTATAGCATAAAGTTTCAGATATTTTCCTAAATTCACTGCGCATCATGATGTAACTATACTAAAAAATTAAGCATAAACAATTAGACTGCCTATTTAGATTTACGTAATTCACGAAGTATGTTCTAATATTTATTGGTCAAAATATAGTTTGAAATAGCGAATTTTATATATATTTAACAATAAGCATCAAAAATAATACACTCAGAGCAAAAAGTAAGCAAATTTGCTACCGGGCGGTGTCTATATATGACCTCACCGGTTTGGTAGCGATTTGCTACGAAATTGTAGTAAATTTGCTCCCACATTTTGTCTCACCGTAACAGCGCGGTAGGGAAATACTAGAACATAGTAACATATTTACTACAACTCTGTAGCAAATCGCTACCAAACCGGTGAGGTCATATATAGACACCGCGTTTAGCGATTTTGCTCTGAGTGTATTAAAGATAATCAAATTGAACTATGGTAATAAATTTTGGCATATTACATACACTATATAACAAAAGAATCCGGAGAAAGTTTCTTCCCATACTATTATCGTGAAATTTCTGATAATCGATCGTCCGTTTAAAGCAGTTCCGCTAAAAAATCGCCCGCGGTTCTGCAAATAGTGCAGGAATCGCTAATTATAGTAAATATTAAGGTAAAATTGTTATCCATTATAAACTTGTTTTCAACTTTTTACCGCGATTCCGAACCTAAGAGTCCTTTTTTGTAAAAGAATTTATACAACTTGTTTACCAGAAAACCGATTACATAATTGAGCACCACTTTCGCTGTCAACAAATATCTTTGTCTCTGCAAATAAATTTAATACTACGCTGTTGGGTATGTATGTTATCTAAATGTGAGTTACACAATGCGTCCTATATAAAATGGAGACCGTCCTGGCAACTCATCAGTCAACTAGAAACACAAGTCTTGTCGAAATGTTGCTTAAAATCTTTTTCTTCGCTCTTTGCGTCTCCTTTTCTCTAGGTTACGTTCAGGAGCTTATGTTCTTCACTGAACCTAACGCTGTAGGGACTGAGCTGATATTCCGCACGAAAGAGCCGCACCTCACACAATACCAGTATTTTTTGACGAACGTGAAATCATGGTGCTTCAATGGACAGTAAGGATTGTTTTTTTTAATAAATTGTTAATTAATAATTTAATTTAATTGTTAATTAAATTAATGTTAATTAGCTAGTTCATTATATAATGTATAATAATATAAGGCTTTGATAAAACTTGATAACAATGCGGCTAACCTCATAATCTGACCAATTTTAATTTTTCCACCGCAAAAATAAGCGGACCCGTATTTTTGCTTTCTTTATAATACGACCATGTGAGCTCGTGGCGTGGTTTTCAAATATTTTTCCAGCCAGAATTTGATAAATATGCTTAGAATTATAGCCTCCTTCACAAAATTCCTTTTCAAAAAATTTTGAAAATTCGCGTTTTTGGCCTATTTTTGGATTTGAAAATATTAAAAATACAAAAAAAATCTGAGTTTTCAAAATTTTGTAGAAATTGAATTTTTTTTATTGTAAAGGATTTAATTCTAAGCATAGATGTTTTTAGTTTCTTGAAGTAGCGCCAAAATAAAAAAAGCGATATCAAAATTCGAAATTTTGGCTGGCAAAATATTTGAGCATCCCGCCACGCGCGCAAATGGGCGCATTATAAAAAAATAAAAAAGAAAGGTGCACTTATTTGTTGGGGTGAACAAATTAAAATTGATCCGATTCAAATCTGACGTTAGCCGCTGACACCTTCGTATTTCTACGTGTTTTTGTACATGTGTCCGTCGTTGTTAATCAAAATATAAAATTCTAATCCTATTTTCTAGCTGGATTGGATACACCGGGACAAACTACACCATAGATCATACCTTGGTCGCATATTCTAGCCACGGAAATTTGCTCTGTTACAATACAACGCTTTCAACCACAATGTCGGTGCGATATTGTGGACCGACCGACACTTCCACCCCTTCCGTTACAATCTTCAGCGAGGACTATAATTCCATTCCTGGTGGTGTCGAACGAACGTTTACCAGCCAAGCGGAGAGAATAATTTTGGCTTTGTTCCAAAACATATGATCATTACGGGAAGGTCAAGTTGGACAGGATTTGAGAACGAGGATTTTACCGGAAACTCGACCTGCTTCACAAGTCCGGAGCTAATTTCCCGAATCAATTTAGCCAATAGACCGATAAAGTCGCTCATCAGAGGATGCGATGCGAAATACGGGAGTGCTAGGTTAGGTTACAATGCTTAAAACTCGTATAATTTGATGAGGATTGACATATCTGGGGTTTAGCTGTATATTTAATGATATTGATGCTTTACCATAATAAATTTATGATACATATTTGAAAAGAGAGATATTTTCCCCCGGAAGGTTCGTATTCAAAATTGGTAAGTAAAAACGAGTAAAAGGTTAGATTAAAATTTAGAGAAATATGTTTTTGGCTTTAATTAATAATTAAACTTCATTTTATTTCAAAACATGATCAAACAATACATCTTTATTTGCACTTAAAGGAAAATGGGAGCATCCATTTAATATGCGACCCAGGTCATTACGCATATTTACGAATAGAAGAGTAGGGTTACAAAATATCTCTGCACCCCTGATATATTTCCTAATTATTATCAACAAACCTACCTGAGTCAATTAGCAATAACGCTGTACTCGTATGACTCACAATAGTAATGGTTCATCCCTTTCGTTGACACATAAATATCTAGAAAGCAAACATTTCCGCGTATATACAAATTATCTTAAATGCACCTCACCCTCTTCACACAATACTTGTTGTTATCCCTCCTCCCCAAAAATACTGCCATTTTTCCGTCACAAGCTTCTTCTCAAACATGTTCACCGCCTTTTAAACCATGGTCGTTACAAAGCCTGGCAAAAGTACCGTGATCCCGACAAAACACAAAGATGGGAAGAATCAGTCGCCATAAACAAAAATTATTAACGCCTCTATTAGATCGATTACCGATCGATTACCGATCCTATTAGCACAAATATTTTTGTGGCGGAATATACACTTAAATATTTTTTGACATGATCCTTACTTCTTAAAAGAATACTTGTATAACCGTCACTCTAAGATTTGATACATTGAAAGCCTGGATACGCTATTACAGGAAATAACACGATTGTCCAGTTTGCCAAGGAACCAGAATATACTTCATCGAACCGCCGGGTACAATTAGGTTCCACTTTTGCAAGGGCATTCAGGGCTAGGGCTCTCCACGGGACAGGATCATCTCGTCCCGTCCCGACAGGACGGGTCCTTCGGGACGGGACGGGACAAGATTTTTCGTCCCGATTGACTTCGGGACGGGACGGGTCTCGGGACGGGATGGAAGTCGCCCCGTCCCGACTCGTCCCGGTCGGGACGGGACATCCCGAAACTTCAATTTATACTCCAAATATTTGTTCAGAAATCCCCTAATTATGCATAAACTTACAAAAACTTTATAGTCTTTACTATTTTTTAAACTACAAATGTTCCGTCGAGTTATAAAATTGATTAATATTTCATTATTATTTAAAGTGTTATAATTATGTATGTATGAAATTGCAATATTTAAGTGTATGAAAGTTGAATTTATTATTAATATGATTTTCATGAGTAGCAACTAGAGACTAAATTGTGTCATGATTATTGGAGGTATTTTTATTGCGCAGTGGCGTCTCTCTTTGTTCTTTGTGCGTATAAGTAAGTGTAAAAGTAAATCTACATCAAGTAGGTAGTTAAACCCCGTACTGTACACATCGTTTTGCGAATGATAGTGTCAGTTGAATAAATCGTACCTATTTCAATTAAATGTGGCAATTAGTATTTGTGGTAATTTATTTATAATTAACCACACCCCCACCCTGAGCTATAGGACGGTGCCACAACAAACTTGTTCAAAGCAAGTTGCTAACGTTTTCATTATTTGACATTTCAAAACTTTTTGAACCAGCATGATGAAATCGAGTATTATGAATGTCAAACTATGAAGTATGATCAGCTTTTGTACATAAGTTTATAACTAGTTGTTAAAATAGAAAAACTATATCAGCATATCATACAAATGAACCCAATCCAACTGATTTAAAATATTAATAAATGTGATACTATTATGGGAATTAAAGAGTTCTTGATAGCAGGCTGGGAGTTACTTAAAATGACCTAGGTTGAAAATTAAACATATACGTCTGTAGCTAGCAAAATACTTTTTTGGACTACACAATATTAATTTTAGTATTTGGATTTTAATTTTTTACTAAAATTTTATCACAAACTATTGTTTGTTTTAAAATTTTATATAAATTTAACATTATATCGGGATGTCCCGTCCCGACCGGGACGAGTCGGGACGGGATACGGGACGGTACGGGATACAGGTTTGTCCCGTCCCGTCCAGAATTTTCATCCCGATTGGAAAAATCGGGACGGGACGGGATGGCCATATCCCGGCTCGTCCCGTCCCGTGGAGAGCCCTATTCAGGGCACGTGGTCCATGCGTCTGGACAAGATATACCTGATCGAACTTAAAATAGATGAATATTAATTGTTTTTAAGCCCTCCAGTTGACTCCACTCTCAACTTTTTCAACCAATTCAATCCACTCCCAATTAACTAACTAAAAATTTGCCACTATTAGGCTACTAAAAATCCTATCCAGGAGTAGAGTGCGAACCACTGAAGTCTTATCTGTAGAAGTGCAGTCAGTATCTTTTTACTTTTTAATATTACACAAAAGCATAGAGTAAAATAAAATAAAACCCCCAGAGCCAACACTCGATGACCTTATTTGCTCAAACGTAATCCACTCTATGGATCGGAAATTGCACGTTTCTTTGCCCAAAATTAGGATCGATTAAGAATTAATACGACGAAGTAGGAGGGCTTAATCCAGTTGTGAATTTTATTCTGATTAAATTTTTATATTTCAGAAGGAAAAACTCGAAAAATCCAATTTGTAACATAGGGTTGATATAGGGAAGATTCCGAAGTTTATCATGGGAAAATCCACTTTTCACAATTGATTTTTCAGAAAAATATTACAGAACCCCTCAAACAAATTTAAAATAAAATAATTTTACAACTACAAAAAAATATGAATCTCGATCTTGATAGAGGCCGGTGCTTACAAAAGTTTCGTCGGATTTTTTTGCCACACCACTCATAATCAATTATCATTACCGCCCTGTCATTGTGGAATTGATGTTGTTGGATTATCAATTTTTATGCAACAGGCTCCAGGCTGTGATATGAAGAGCAGTTAGCTTAGTGTCCCAAAGCCATTGGCAATTGATAAGTCTGAAACATTGCAAATATCAAATGAGATTTTGAAATTATGCCGGGATTGCGTAACTTTTATTATATTACGTTGCGTATTTAGTACGATTTGGAGATCTTGGCGATGACTTTTGGAAGTTAATTATTTATGCGTGGAGTTTCGAACAAAACAAAATACTTATATAATAAATTTTTAACAAAAGTCACAAAAAGATTTTTGACATTATTGATAAATTATCGATCACCAACTTTAATGTAGATGTAGTAAAATTTCCGAGTCCATTTTTTTTAAAGTTTATTCTCCTGAGCATAGTTTGTATTCCAGCACGGAGTTTAAATAGCGCTGTATTAATAATTTTTTTTAGAAATAAATAAATTCGTTCACATTTAGGGATAATAACTATTTTCAGAATTAAATATCTAATTTTAAAAGGTGCTCAGAATAAGTTGAACTACATGTCTACTTTACAGCACAATAGGCTTATATAAAACTTATGTTGTACATCAGAGAAATATTATGACATCTTTTCGATCGCTTCTCCAACGTATGATGGGGTTGTCAGAGCAACTATTTAAATATGCAGAAGTACCTTGTATTCATAATGCGTAATGCATACGTCCTACTTACAATAGGTTTGATTAATGTTACTAAAAGCGATGTACGTATTCCTATTCTTAAACAATCATACCTCTTTTAAAATAAATCTGCAAAAAATTCTCCCGTTTTAAGATGAAGTGACTAAGAATAACCGCTTCATCTTATTCTATTATTAACCCCAGAGAGTCGGCTAACTGAATAATTTTTAATTAATTTGGTCGATGACACCTCAAGTACGTATATTTAATTGATTTACTTGTAATCAGCTGCTCAACTTGGGTTGCATAATTATTCCACTTGTCAAGTGTTGGTTAAAGCTGATATATTCAAATCGCCAAATTTTTCAGTTAACAAGGCAAACGCTCATTTTGCAGAAACCCAGCTTGATAAGCATTATGAAGCACTCGTTGGTCTGCTGATTGTGAATAATTTATAGATAATTACCTCATGCACAACTATCCCTTTTATAATTCTAAGCTGTAGTTCGTCTGTATTTTCGAACTCGCGCGCCACCTCAATGAATTTCCCCAACACATTCAACCGGCCCATGTATTCCCATTATAGAGCAAGCCATCCAGTCAGTCTGTCAGTGACTTTTCTCAGAGGTCTGGAGTCCAATTCTCATAATTGCAAGAAGTCTGGATTGAACTGGTTTGCAATACAAAATGCTGCTCGAGGCCAGCAGGTAATCTTCGTAATCCGGATTTGAAAATTTGGGACGGATTTGCTCCCTAATTCTAGGGAAATTGTTAAAGCATGCAAATCTTAATTTTGATATTCAAACAAATTATATTAGTGAGTTTGTGAAGATTAATACATCTTACAAGGAATGACCTCGGACTGCTAGTTGATTTAGACGTCGACACTATATGCACTTAACGCATTAACTAATATCAGTCACCCAATCCACAAAAAATTACGTGTAAAAATAACATGCGGAAAAGATATGACGACTTTTGTGACGAGAAATGACGCATTTTTCCAATGCTGTAGTAAGTGACCTTTCAACCTTCACTCGTTCACTCCGCATCTCCTCCCTCGTCGCTCACTCCTCCCTTAGCTCATACAGCTTCAAATTTCAAGGAATTAAATTTGTGGGGCTACATTACTCACCTTTATTTTATTTTATTAAGGTGATTGCGATTCATCTGGCTGTGATTCATCTGGCTGCGTAATGTGGTTGTGACTTTCAACAAAAAAATGCTCGAAACAAAGACGTAAATTGCAGTGGGCACATCGAATAAAGTTTTCATTTTCACACATTTCCGTCTCACACTTATCACAATCTAATGAAAATAATACTTCAGTGACGTTTCTAAATTTAATTCTTTCTTGCGTATATGTTGGTACAGGCAAACCAAGAATACTGAAACATGGGAATAAAAACTTCTGACTTTAGTTGATCAAAGATTAAAGAATGCAACTATACCACGTTGTCGCGATTATGCATGTCGAGCTCCATGTTATCCAGGACGACACGCT